TTTATTTCTGAGTTATGAAGCATTTTGTTCTGTGAAAAATAGAAAATAACTAAAATTTACAATAAATGTTCAATGTGCCTTCCGTCCATTTCAACACACAATTCGGCACGTCTCTTTATTGAATATCAAACATGTTCAAAGATTTTCGGAGTATTGTTCATTAAGAGTTTTTGGTTTGTTTTAACGAGTACTACATATCCCTAAAATTTGATACCACCTTTTGGGAACACCCTGTGTGTGTATATATATATATATATATATATATATATATATATATATATATATATATATTAGGTTGATTCATAAAATTCGTGCGGATTTTTGGTATTAGCAGGATAGTTTCATACAGTTGTCGTAGTTTGAACATGAAAGGCAATAATAAGTTTTTCCGATGCATTATACTGTTTTACTTTCGTAAACATTGTTAGAGTTTGGTATTGAGTTGATCCATAAATTCGTGCGGATTTTTCAACAAAATTTAAATACATTTTTGTTCTTATTGAAAAAACAATTTTAATCAATAATATACGCGTCATTCTATTCGACAATCTCTTGCCACCTATCATGTAATTTTATAATTCTTCTCTCGTAAAACTTTTGTACCCCTTTTCGACGAAGACACATTCCGAACGATTTTTCATATCTTCTAAAGAAGCGAACTTTACACCGTCAAGAGAGTTCTGTAATAAGTGAAACAGACGATAATCGAAAGGGGCAATGTCGAGTGAACATGGTGGATGAGAAGAAACATCCCAGCCGAGTAACAGGCTGCTAACTGTTCGATAATTAACAGAGATTACCTCATAAAATAAGTGCCACGCGAGTTCACGCGATTTCTCATATCGAGACGATCTCGACGCGCTTACCAGGCGATCTTTTTCTTCCTCATTTTACTCCACCATGTTACATGCTATTCCCGAGGAGCTGCGAGCGCGCCCGTGCGCGCGAAGAAAGTCCCGCGCGAGACGATATTTCGATATAATCGTTGCATAAGGAGAAAATAATTTCGCGCTCGAGCCGAGTGTGAAGATGCGCAAGCGAGGTCGCAAAATTGATGTTCCACTTGCATGGAATCCGAATGGTTTCGCGCGCCGGTTACATGGCCGATGCATTGGTTGTTGCACGGCACGGTATGACACGTATGTGTGTGTGTGTGTGTGTGCGCGTGTGTGCGCGAGTCCGTTTAACGCGCGCGTGTTCGCCGTTCTTTAAGTGCGACGCAGTTTCTACTGTAACACCCCGAGGGCTTCTTCCTTATGAGCGTGCACGCAACGCAACTTAGTTGCAGCCGCAATTAACGCGCCGTTCTAGGAGCGCGCATACCTGCCGCGGTGAACCCAAACGACCGGGTGCACGTCGCCGCGGCACATCCGAACATCATCGGCAACAACAACCTGGCGCTTTAATGAGACGGCATAAATAATACCGCGGCCGGCAGTATTTAGGGTAAGTTCGGCCGGTGTAATGTGCGAGACTAGACTGACAGCTGATACGTCGAGTGGGCTCTTAAAATCACTTAGCGGCTCTCTCGCGAGAACAATCCGCCGGAGAATTGCATGAACATTGAAAATTACAGCTCGCGAGGCTCGTGCAAAAATCTCTTCGCGGACGCTAAGCGATCGTAATATCTCTCTTTCTCGTTCCCTAACGGTTGCGTTACGGCTGTTCCCACTGACCGCGATATTACCGTCCGCGATCTCAGGCGTTTTCTCCTCGATTGTCGCACGCCCGGTGTATTGCCGGTATCCGCGAAAGCAGCGCGTAATCGAATCGATCGGAATACTTTCGATTACTAAATGCACCGCGAGAAAAGAATGGTTCATCTACACGGAAAAAAAGATTTGCTAATATATGGACAATTAAAAATATTAACTACAGGAGCAAATTTTCTTGCTTTCATAGTAAAGTTATTTAGTTGTGATAGCTAAAAGATTTGCTATCGCGCGCAGATATTCAGAATGGAGAATTCATTCTGTATGAGCAGAAAGTCACTCAAATTCTAATATTTTAATTCTAATATATATATTTTAATTCTAATATTTTAATTCTAATATATATATTAGCAAATCTTTTAGCTATCACAACTAAATAACTTTACTATGAAAGCAAGAAAATTTGCTCCTGCAGTTAATATTTTTAGTTGTCCATATATTTTAGCAAATCTTTTTTTTTTGGAATCGGAATTATTACTTTTGGCCGTATCTTTCGGTTGTTCCAACACGAAAATGGTAGTGGTAGCATGCATGCAAGCTTATTGTCACTAACATTATGGCAGAATGAAAGGAAATGACTTTGCTGCCTCTTGCTGGAGAGCAATCATCTCGTTTTGCCCCTCCATCTGCCATCATTGCCGGCGAATCGATTGGTGTGAATACGTTTCCTCGTCACTGGAACATATTCACTCCGAATGATTGAAACACTCGCTCAAATGGAATCAGAATTCGCTCTAAGCTTAAGCGAAGAAATTGCCATTTCGAGCGGCAGCATTTTCCTTATCGCTTCGAGTGAAAATGCCGCTCGCTCGTTTCGATTCCATTTCAAGAAATTTAAATAGTTGATTAGATTTTTTTCTAACGAAAGATAAACAATCTGAAAAGTACAGTGACAGCAGACACCCTCGAATTTGAGCGACTTTCTGCTCATACAAAATGAATTCTCCATTCTGAATCGTCGAGCGAATATTTTCAGTCGTAATTGAAGAGCGAGTCCGACGTGTACTTGTTTCGCAAACTTCGTTACGGAGAAATCAATTCTCCAATTCATCTCCGATCGATTGAAGCATTCAGTCTGGATCAGGAATCCGCTCTGAGTTCG